TCATCTTTTGCTGTTTTTGCTCTCTCTCTCTCTCTCTCAATCTATATATCTCTATCTCTCTCTCCCCTTCTCTGTCTCTGTCTGTTTGTCTGTCTGTCTGTCTCTGTCTCTGTCTATGCCTCTGTTTCTCTCTCTCTCTCTCTCTCTCTCCTCTCTCTCTCTCTCTCTCTCTGTCTCTCTCTCTCTCTCTCTCTCTCATCTCCTCTCTCTCTCTCTCTCTCCCCCTCTCTCTCTCTCTCTCTCTCTCTCTCTCTCTCTCTCTCTCTCTCTCTCTCTCTCTCTCTTCTCCCTCTCCTATTTTTGTGACATCGAGAGAGAGAGGAGAGAGAAAGAGAGTGTGAAGAAGTGAGAGAAGAGAAGAGGTAGAGAGAGAGTGAGTGAGAGAGAGTGAGAGAGAGAGAGAGAGAGAGAGAGAGAGAGAGAGAGAGAGAGGAGAGAGGAAGAGACAGAGAGAGAGAGACTGAGACAGAGACAGACACAGTGTAAGAGAGAAAAAAGAAAACAAAGAGAAACAAAAAACACACACACGCACACACATACAAAACTGATGAAAGAACTCATACATCGGGATTAAAAAAAAGAAAGAGGTCGCAGATCCAAAGCTTTTTGTCTTTCCTTGACACTTGTTTACTAATCTTATTTACTCACACAATTTGCCTGTTGATTGTGTCTTCTCGTGTCAGGGTTAATCAGCTGCTTTCAGAGACATGAATGGCTGTGGTTACCCTCTGGTGCATGTTTTTTTCTTTCTTTTTTCTATCTTTTTTAATTAGTATTACTATATGCATCCAACTTTCTTTTTTCCCTTCAACTTTTTTGGGTGTTATTGTAAGGATCTATCTCTCTGTTTGCTTCTCTGTCTACTTTTATATCTTTCTATCTGAATATTATCTTTGTTTGTCTTTTTATTTATCTCAGAAACTTTTTATCTGTTTGTCTATCTATCGGAGAAACTATCCATCTGTCTATCTGTCTCAGAAACTAGCGATCTAGCAATCTCTCTATTTGAGAAACTCTATCTCTATCTCTATTTGAGAAATATCTATCAACTTCCCTACCTGATAAACCTTCAATCTATTTATCTATCTGAGAAATTATCTATTTATCTACTGTTTTACCCATCTATTTTTTCTTCTCTCTTTCTCTCTTATTATAATGAAATAAATGAAAATTAGAAAAAAGGAGGAAAATAAAAGAAAGAAATAAGAGAGATAAGAGACAAGAGGAAGAAAGAGAAATCATAAGGACACAAACAAATAATTATATAAAAACGACTAACAGGAAAATAAAAATAACGAAGGGAAGAAAAATTAGAATATGGAAAGAAAGAGAGATAAAAGTGCGAATGAAAATAACGACTAACAGGAAAATAAAAATAACGAAGGGAAGAAAAATTAGAATATGGAAAGAAAGAGAGATAAAAGTGCGGAGAAAGAGGAAGAAAAACAAGAATTAAAGTGTGATAGTGTAGAGAAAGATGGCGAGGAAGAAGAGAAATAAATGGAAAATGAGACATAGGAAGTAGAGGAGAAAGAGAAGAAAGGGAAGGAAGAGGAAATGGAGAAGAGAGAAAATGAAGGAAGAGGAGAAGGAGAAGAAGGAAAAGTACGTGGAGGGGGACGAGAAAGAAAAATAAGAGGAAAAAGAGCAGGAAGAAGAGGAGAAAGAGAAATGGAAGGTAGAGAGGAAGGAGGAAAAAGAGAATGGAAAGGGGAGGTGGAGAAAAAGGTGGAAGAGGAGAAGGAGAAAAAATTAGATGGAAAGAGATGGAGGAGGAGAGGAAAAAGAGAAGGAACAAAAAGAAAAAAGATGAGAAAGAGGAGGGAGAAATACAAGAAAAGGGCGTCGAGGAAATAAAAACAGAAAGGAGTAAGAAGAAGAAAAAGGAAGAGGAATAAGGCCACGCCGCGTATCCCACATACATGGTTTCCTGGCCATCCCTGCGTCCCTTCCTGGCCCATCCCTGCGTCCCTTCCTGACCCGCGTCCTTTTGTCTTCCTGACCCGCGTCCCTTTCTGGTTCACGTCCCTGCGTCCCTTCCTGGCCCATCCCTGCGTCCCTTTCTGGTTCACGTCCCTGCGTCCCTTTCTGGTTCACTCCCTGCGTCCTTTCTGGTTCACGTCCCTGCGTCCCTTTTGGTTCACGTCCCTGCGTCCCTTTCTGGTTCACGTCTGCGTCCTTTCTGGTTCCCGTCCCTTCCGGTTCACGTCCCTGCGGTTCACGTCCCGTCCCTTCTGGTTCACGTCCCTGCGTCCCTTTCTGGTTCACGTCACGTCCTGCGTCCCTTTCTGGTTCATGTTCCTGCGTCCTTTCTGGTTCACGTCCCTGGTCCCTTTCTGGTTCAATTCACGTCCCTGCGTCCCTTTCTGGTTCACGTCCCTGCGTCCCTTTCTGGTTCACGTCCCTGCGTCCCTTTCTGGTCCTGCGTCCCTCTGGTTCACGTCCCTGCGTCCCTTTCTGGTTCACGTCCCTGCGTCCCTTCTGGTTTCACGTCCCTCATGTTCCTGCGTCCCCACGTGCTTTCTGTTCACGTCCCTGGTCCCTGGTTCACTCCCTGGGTCTTTCTGGTTCACGTCCCTGCGTCCCTTTCTGGTTCACGTCCCTGGGTCCCTTTCTGGTTCACGTCCCTGCGTCCCTTTCTGGTTCCTTCCCTGGTTCACGTCCCTGCGTCCCGTCTGCGTCCTTTCTGGTTTCACGTCCCTGCGTCCCTTTCTGGGCGCCCTTTCTGGTTCACGTCCCTGCGTCCTTTGGTTCACGTCCCTGCGTCCCTTTCTGGTTTCACGTCCCTGGTCCCTTTCTGGTTCACGTCCCTGCGTCCCCTTTCTGGTTCACGTCCCTGCGTCCCTTACTCGTCCTGGTCCCTTTCTGGTTCACGCCCTGCGTCCCTTTCTGGTCCCGTGGTTCACGTCCGTCCCCTCCCTGCGCCCTTTCTGGTTCACGTCCCTGCGCCCCTTTCTGGTTCAGTCCCTTCCCTTTCTGTTCACGTCCCTGCGTCCCTTTCTGGTTCACGTCCTGCGTCCCTTTCTGGTCCCCCCTTTCTGGTTCACGTCCCTGCGTCCTTTCACGTCCCTGCGTCCCTTTGGTTCACGTCCCTGCGTCCCTTTCTGGTTCACGTCCTTTTCTGGTTCACGTCCCTGCGTCCCTTTCCGTCATGTTCCTGCGCCCCTTTTCTGTTTCACGTCCCTGCGTCCCTTTCTGGTTCACGTCCCTGCGTCCCTTTCTGGTTCACGTCCCTGCGTCCCTTTCTGGTTCACGTCCCTGCGTCCCTTTCTGGTTCACGTCAGCTCCCGCTGGTTCACGTCCCTGCGTCCCTTTCTGGTTCACGTCCCTGCGTCCCTTTCTGGGTCCCTCACGTCCCTACGTCCCTGGGTCCCTTTCTGGTTCACGTCCCTGCGTCCCTTCGGCCCGCGTCCCTTTCTGGCCCATCCCTGCGCCCCTTCTTGGCCCGCGTCCCTGGGTCCTTTCCTAGCCAATCCCTGCGTCCCTTCGCCCCTTCCTGACCTACGACCTTCTTGGCTCGCGTCCTTTCCTAGCCCACGTCCCTGCGTCCCTTTCTTAGCCCGCGCCCCTACGTCCCTCCGTCTCTTCCAGGCCCGTGTCCCTACGTCCCTCGGTCCCTTCCTGGCTTGCGTCTTTCCGTCCCATCCTGGCCCACGTCCCTTCGTTCCCTGTCCTTTTTCTGTGACCAATGAAATTCTTTGATTTTTTGTCTTTCCCGTCTTTTTTTTCTCTCTCTCTTGTAGCTCTGCGACGCCCTTCCTCTGTGGCGTCCAGGTCCAGAGTTTTCCTCTTCCGTGGCCCTGAACTTCCCCTCTTCTTTCTGGAAACAAAGTCCTCCTCTGTGGCTCTAGAATTCTCTTTTTGTTTGTTTTTTTTTTTTCTTATTCCCCTGTTGCTCTTTTTAAGATTCTTGGTCCTCCACTGCCCTCTATACTGACTTTGGGACCATCGTAGTTTTGTCAAGTCTTCTGCTTTCTCGATTTTGGCCTTTCTTCCTCTTCTTTATATTCCTTTCCTTCTCTTTTACCTTCCTTCCTACCTATGTTCTGTCGCTTAGTGTCTCTCCTTTATATTCCTTCCTTCTTCTTCTTTCACCCTCCTGTTTTACCTTCCTTCTTGCTTCTTTCTCCCCTTCCATTCTGCCTGTCTTATGGCACTAAGCCCTCTCTTTCCCCATATTTTAACTCCCTCTTTCTTTGGATCCTCTCCAACGCGACCCGGATTTAGCAGATCTTTACTTAACACCTCTATAAGTCCCGCGTCTTCATCTCCAGTCCTTAAACATCCTTTCACTTAGGATAAAAAAAAATATATATATTTCACAGGCCTCCGAATAACTTCTAAGCATGGATCATACCCCTCCTACCACTCCCCACTCCCCCGTCTCTTCCCCCCTCCTCCCGCGCCTCCATAACTCGACTCGACTCCGGTGTGTGGTCCCATAATTACGGGTCAGTCTATGGAGTCATTTTTTTAACACCTACAATATGGAGTATCGGTTCATCGGTCGGAAAGAAGACCTTCACCAGCGGAGATCCTATCGCTTCGGATATGGCTCACTTGTCTCGGGAGAAGGAAGGGGAGAGGCAGGCCGAGGAAGAGGGAGATAGCGAAAGGGTGATAGATGGGTGGATATATAAAATGGTTGAATATGTTAGATAGATAGCTGAGTGAGAGGGAGGGAGAGAGAGAGAGAGCAAGACATATATAGATAGATAGATGGATGATAGATAGATAGATTGATAGATATAGATAGATAGAGAGAGAGGGGGGGGAGATAGAGAGGTAGATAAAGGCAAATAAAAATATAACACAGTAGCTATCTATCTACACATCTATATATGCTAATCTATCTACCTATCCAACTTTGCACACACACAAACAAAGAATATAACCAGACCGACAAACCTCCCCCCCCCCTTTCCCCTCCCACACACCTCTCCTCTTCCCCCTTCCACCCCCTTCCGGTTTCCCCTCCCCCACACCCCTTCCCTTCTCACACACGTCTCACCTTCCCCTCCACCACCTTCCCTTTCCCCTCCTCACCCCTTTCCCTCTCACACCCTCCCCCGTCCCTCCTCCTCCACATACACCCTTCCCTTTCTCCTCCATCCCATCCCTTTACCCCTCCCTCCGCCCCCCTCCCCTACACCTTTCTCCTCACACACATCCTTTCCCCCTTTTCTCCCCCTCTCCCTCCCCCCTTCCCTTCCCTTTTCTATCCCCCTCCTCCCTCTCGCCCCTCCCCTTTTCTATCCCCCTCTCCTCCCCCCCTCCCTTCTCCTTTTCTATCCCCTCTCACCCCCCTTCGCCCCCTCCCTCCCCTTTTCTCCTCCCCTCCCCCCTTCCTTTTCTATCCCCCCTTCCCTCCCCCTCCCTTCCCCTTTTCTATCCCCCCTCTCCCTCCCCTCCCTTCCTTTCTCCCCCTCTCCTCCCCCTCCCCCCCCCCTCCCTAATCTACCTAAGGCTCGTGCTCCAGCGTCTCCATCTCCCAAGAAAATCTCTTTGGCTCCTCAAGAAATTTCCAAGAGATCGCCAATCGGCCCCTTACGCCTCGTCCGGGTGCGTGATCGCCGGCAATTCCTCATCGTCGTGAAAACCCGCCCGCGCGTTCGGACAAGTGGATGCCCGTTCGCCCGCCTAACCGAACGCGGGGATCCAGATCACGCTCTTTAGGGTTGTTACTACTGTTGTTGTTGTATTTTTCTCATTATTATTGTCATTATTATTAGTAGTAGTAATAGTAGTATTGTCATCATTATTGTTATTAGAAATAGTATCCTTATTATTCTTATAATAACAATAATAATGAAAATTATGATGATAATGATAATAATGATAACAATAGAAATAATAGTGTTAATGATAAAGCTAATTATAATCATTATTATTACCATAACCAATATTATTATTATAATCTTCATAATCATTATTATCATTTACATTATTACTATTACTATTGTTATTATCATCATTATTACTACTACTACTACTATTATTATCATCATCATTAGTATTATCATCATTATTATCATTATAATCAACCTTATTACCACGGACATTGTTATTATAATCATTGTTATCATCATTTTTTTATCAATCCTATTATCGGCTACTTCCCAAATCACCATCATCAAAGAAAGAATCCTTACTTTCGTCACTGTCATCAAAATTAAAAGCATTAGCACAGAGACATTAACAAACCAATGCATTAACAAAGGCAAAATAAACACACTCGATCTCCATAAATCAAACGGGAATTAAATCGATCAAGACAAAAGGACCATGCGGTAAAGTTGTCGATACAGCAAACAAGATTTTTTTTTACGTTTTCCAGGCTTGGTTATCATCATTTCTCGTCTGTTTATCGAAATTATTGCCATTAGCGTCATTACACCGTTCTCAGAAGTCGTAACAATGAATATTTAGTTTGATGAAGGAGGTGTATTTTGTCATTTTAGAAAGCGGTGTGTTTTGGTTGGTGGATGTTTGTTTTGCATGTACGTGTATTTCGGTCTCTCTCTCTCTATATATATTTTTTGTATTAGTTCTCTCTTTGTTTCTTTTTCTCACGCGTTTACCGTGTGTGTGGTGTGTGTGTGTGTGTGTGTGTGTGTGTGTGTGTGTGTGTGTGTGTGTGTGTGTGTGTGTGTGTGTGTGTGTGTGTGTGTGTGTGTGTGTGTGTGTATGTGTGTGTGTGTGTGTGTGTGTGTGTGTGTGTGTGTGTGTGTGTGTGTGTGTGTGTGTGTGTGTGTGTGTGGTGCGTGCGTGCGTGCGTGCGTAGTGTGTGTGTGTGTGTGTGTGTGTTCTTTATACAATACCCAATTACAATTGTTTGCCCGACTATTACTATTTTCAGGTAAATACGGAGAGAGAGAGAGAGAGAGAGAGAGAGAGAGAGAGAGAGAGAGAGAGAGAGAGAGAGAGAGAGAGAGAGAGAGAGAGAGAGAGAGAGAGAGAGAGAGAGAGAGAGAGAGAGAGAGAGAGAGAGAGAGGAGAGAGAGAGAGAGAGAGAGAGACAGAGACAGAGAGGCAGAAAACAGCTGAAACACGTAAAAGAGACAAACAGACAAACACAACCGACATGACGGATCACTTACACGTGCTGCAGACACAGACAACATTATTTCCTCTGAGGACAATGACCTCCTTCTAGCCGGGTCAGATAGGGTCATCGCAGATTTGTTTGACCCTTCAGCGACACGAGGTCACGCCTGCAGCTGTGTCCAGAGGTCAGAATCTGTGAAAAGTGATTTAGTTCATCGCCTTTTGTCAGCTGTTCAAGCAAAAGGGAAGAAAAAGGAAAACAGTAAAATAGAGAAAGAAAGAAATGGAGGAAAATTAAGAATAGTAACAATAGCACACCGAAGTTAAAGGAAAAAGAGGCAAGAAATTGGAATAAGGGGTTTGGTAATAATGTAGGGATGATGATGATAATAAAATGAATGGTAATAATAATAATAATAATAATAATAATAATAATAATAATAATAATAATAA